TTGAGTGGCGGGGTAGGGTCGAGGGCCCGAAAGGCCTACTTCTGCTCCTAATTCTTATGTTCTTATGTTCAAGTGAACGTTCCCGAATATTCGCATCTGTAAAAAACACCTTTGCTGTTTTCAAGGTAAACCTGAAAGTTGGACCACTGGATGTCGAGCAATTATGTAAAAACCCAAAGTTCTCCAGATTGTTTCATTGGTGCACACATATCTGCCCATCCGATAGTACGTTACGTCGTCTCTTCGGGCTTCCTCCCTCTCGAGTCCAAACAGAGCTATGTTGCATCCCTTATTCCCATATTTGCACACATATTTGATGTTCTTAATAGAGTTGCAAAACTCAACATTGATGTGAGTGTTGAAAAGCCGAGAGCGATAGGGATTGTATGGGACAAGCCAACGATTGTTGTTTGTCAGTACTGCATGGAATCTTCCACTTCCACATCTGCCTATACAAAGGATACCCATCATGACCTGTTTGGATCTCCTGTACAAAGCTTCTTGGATATTGCTTCGACCCGGACCCATCTTTCATGCAGGGAGATTTTTTGTTGAATTGTCCACATGGGCCATGAAACATGTGTTTGTTTATGATTTCAAAGAGTACAGGGTCTCGGTCTGGATTTGATAGTTCTGCAGAGATGACATTGTCGATTTGGTTAGGGCGTATTTTTTCAGTGAGCTACAGAAGATTGGGTGCATGGGGAAGACCACGCTTTTGCCACTCAATGGTGTAGAGGTAGCCACAGACTTTGCCAAAGACATAATTTTGGTGCTGAGCTCCATCAGTTTAGCTCCAATTGTTCCAGGAAACATTTCCTGCTTGATATCCTCCCAAATATGTTCGCAGGTGAATGTGATGAACAGGTCAGGTTGACTGTACGCTGGCATATAGCACAAAGCTTTCGTGCATAAATCCTGGCCCCCCCTGTGAAACTGGATGGCAAGATGACCAGTTAATGCACGTTGCTGGGTCACCATCATTTATAACTGCATCGAGTAAATGAATGTACTCCTAAGGCCTGAGTTTCTTCTGGTTCAAGTGAGAAAAAATGTCTCTCTGTTTTGATCTTGACATACATGTCTATAATGAATTGATGGCAGAGATCTTTTATATGCAGAAGAATGTTGTAATCGCAGACTTGAAGCTCCTGACATTTGTGTTACTGGTATGATGCAGATCTAGTATGAGGGCTCTGTTGACCCCGAGAACATTGCTTCCACACTGTATGGCTTGTTCTTCTTGGTTCGTCATAAAGTAGATCTATAAGAATTTTGGTGACTCATTAGGCAAAGTGTTTAGAGATCCCAATAAGTGAATAAGTGATATACTTGGCCTTGCACTTTAAATGTTGGCACATAGCCTGGCTCTTTAATTTCTCTAGTTGCGCCAAAAGAGGTCATCTGGAAACAAAAATTGTATTTTCTAAGGTTTGCTAGAAATGCTCAGAATCACTCGGTTTTCAGGTGTTCAAATGGCTCTGTGAGTTGATTTGGTTTCATTTTTCCAAGCGAGTAACACATGGAAGGAACTTCTTTTGCCCTTTTCATGGCTCCACAGTGGGCACATATGTTCGACATTTTTCCAATATGATGGGTGCAATCTGATTCGTAGTCTCTGCTGGATCATAGTTGAGCTACGCTGTTCTTTGTCCTTCAGTTTCATTTAATGGACCTTCTCTCTTTTGTCTAGCATTTTTACTTATCCTTGAAAGGTTTGATTTTCACTTAGGCATCTTTATAATGATAAATATAAATATATAATTTATAATCACTGTTGCGTCTTCCTGATGTGAAAGGTGCTTTAAAAATGTAATTTTGTTACCGCAGCTTAGCTTTGTCTGTGTTCTTTATTTTGTTCCTGCCACCAGTTGGTTACGTGCGCGCTCTGTAATGTAGGATGCCACAGCACCACGGACAGCCAGTGCGGCCACCAGGTGTAACTGCAGAACTGCAGCATGTGCGTACATACAAAGGTTCTCTTTGACGCACGATGCCACAGCCACATTTTGAATCAGCAGCCACAAGGTATAAATGCAGCGAAAAATGCAGAACTGAAATACCTTTCAGTTCATAACTCATGAACGATAGGAGATACCCGAAAACAAATATGCCTATGTCACTCCCAGGTACAAGACCTTTTTGATGCGGTAGAAATCTTTACGTCTCTACATCAATCAGTTATTGAAATCCTTCTTGAAGTACAGACATACATTGTTGTTTTATTAGTATAGATAGAAGAAGATTGGTTGAATCCAATCAGATAAAAGTGTCAGGTCAATCAAAAGCAGATGAGGGAGTATGTTGGGCAAGCAGCATGATCGAACTAGGAGGAAGTGTTAACACAGAGGACGACATTAAAAAAATGCAGCGAGACATAGATAGGTTAGGTGATTGGGCAGGTAGGTGGCAGATGAAGTATAATGTAGGGAAGTGCGAAGTCATCCATCTAGGTAGCAAAAACAGTAGAGCGGGTTATTTTTTAGAAGGGGAGAGATTGAAATGTGTTAGCGTGCGGAGGGACTTGGGTGTCCTTGTACACCAATCACAGAAAGTTAGTCTGCAGGGGCAGCAGCAATTTCATTACGAAAGGATTAGAGTATAAGAGTAGGGAAGTCTTGCTGCAACTGTATAGGGCCCTGGTGAGACCACACCTGGAATACTGTGTGCAGTTTTGATCTCCTTATTTAACGAAGGATGTACTTGCCTTGGAGGGGGTGCAGCGCAGATTTATTAGGTTAGTACCAGGGATGAAGGAGATGCGTTACGAGGATAGGCTGACCAATTTGGGCCTATATTCTCTAGAATATAGAAGAATTAGAGGGGATCTTATAGAAACCTATAAGATCATCAAAGGGCATGATAGTCTAGATAGTGGGAGATTGTTTTCCCTGGTTGGAGAAACTAAAACCAGGGGTCACAACCTTAAAATCAGAGGCCAGGCCTTTCGCACTGAGTTGAGGAAGAACTTCTTCACTCAAAGGGTGGTGAATGTATAGAACTCACTCCCCCAAAAGGCTGTTCACGCTCAGTCTTTGAACATGTTCAAGACTGAGATAGAAAGATTTCTTATTGCATTGATTAAGGGATATGGGGATAATAATAATAATAATCCTTGCTTTTGATATAGCGCTTTTCACGTCTTCTAGACGTCCCAAAGTGCTTCACAGAATATACTGTAAAGTGAATTGACTGTATATTTGTGGGCGAACGCGGTAGCCAATTGCACACAGCAATGTCCCACAAACAGTCGTGGATTGAAAATGACCAATTTATTATTGTTTTGTTTTTTTGGAGGGATTATTAGGTTATTAGCTGGAGTTAGATTGGAAGATCAGCCACGATTGAATGGCGGGGCAGGCTCGAAGGGCCGAATGGCCTACTCCCTCTCCTACATGTTATGTTATGTTATGTTATGTTATGTTATGTTATGTTATGTTATGTTATGTTATGTTATGTTATCGGGTCTTTGTCGTATTATGCTCATTGCTATTTTTCCCCCCGGTTCATGATACTGCCTAGAGCATCAATGGGGTGATTTCAGGAAAGAGTTTCAAATGCATAAATCAGGTTGCTTGCTTGGGGGAAAAGTATGAGAAATCAATTGCCATTTGAATGCCACAGATAATTACTCACCTGGCAAGTTATTGTTGAGCTATACCAGACCCAAAGGGTACAATTTTTCATCTCACCACCCCTGTGCCTGATTTGAAGTGTATGTTGGGGGGGGAGGGTGGGAGGTGTGCAAGGACATGTTCTAATTATCGTCATTGATATTTATTCCAATGATAGAAAATTGAGTTATTTTGTAACTGTGACTGTAGAAACCCTAATGATAGTTAACATGTTGAATACTTCTTGACAATTGGGAAATGGCACATTTTCAGCTATTCAGAATTGAATCACTGCCATGTTTGAAGTTAATACAGTGAATATATCCTTTTTGACTCCTAAGGTCTGAAATGCCACCTGGCCTCAGCCTGTTAGACTATTTTGTCTTACAGAATTGTGAAAAATTCTTAACTTCATTCTTAATTTTAAATTGTCTATTTTTGAGATGTATGGGAAACCAGATTGCAAAATTGAGATAGAATTTAAGAATTTTCCGCGTGATTGTTTGCAATCTTAAATTTGAAGACAAACTGATCTCACCAGCTAAAACTGGATTTTGGGTATCTGACTACTCGGATTGATTTTGAACTTAATGTTTACTTTTAAAATTGCTTCCAAACTACTATTTGCTGAAAAGTGCAATATCTGTGTTTTCGTTGCTGGATTAAAGATTTTCCTGATCCTCTTGAGAATCGTAAATCTGGCTGCAAAATAGTTTGGCCTGAAGCCTGCAGCCACCTTATTGTTGTTGCTGTCCATGGAGTAATGTCTGAGTCTCTTCCAATACTGCACTCCTGCAACTGATGTCTGACTATTTCTAGCTGCGTAAACTTAGTTTACAAAATAAACTGCTTCTCATATTACGGATTTACCAAGCGGTAAAATATCCAAAAAGAGAGATTACTAAAGCAAAATTTTTAATGAGAGTAAAATATTGCTGTGGACCTTGTAAAACAATTTGTACTGCTTAATCAGGACTGTACTAACTGAATAATGGACATATTAGATCATTGTTGAAAAATTGAGGTTACAGTGTTTTTGCTGGCTGACAGGCTGTGCACATTTTTTCTGCTTCTCATGACTGTCGGAACATTATAAAACCCTCAGCGGGCTTAGAATGTTAAATTTGAAATTTATTCTTTTGTGCATTACGTCTCTAGCAGCTCATCCTGCTGCTGGCGCAAGTCACTGTCATTTTTCACTCAAGCTTTGTCTTTTATTAAAAGTGACTGGCAATAGTGGATCTAACAAGAAATAGTTTCTGCAATGAAATAGCAATTTTTAAATCCAGGACACGTTGTCACTGTAATAAACCCCATTGTATATATGAATGCCTTGTTCAGTTTTGTCTAGTTCATGATTTTGAATGTATGTGTGTGTGCCTGCAGGCCCACATTTAAAGAGCGAATCGAGTGGGTGAAGGAGTCTGGAGAATATTGCAGAGGTAGAATGGGGCAAGAGCATAAAGGGATTTAAAGGTAAGCATGAGGATCCTGAAGTTTACACATTTTATTGAAAGCAATGGTTTGGATCATGCAGCAGGAAGCTTGCCAGACAGCAATTTCAAAAACAAGCTATGTGTTTTAGCTGATTAAACTCCAACAATACACCAATACATACTCTACGTACTTTGCATCTGTCTTCACAAAAGAAGTGGATGCACCAAATGCTGCAGTACCTGAGGAGAGGGTAGAGGAAATGGATAGGATAAGTATAAACAGAGAGAAAATACTGAAAAGGTTGACTGGGCTGAAGGTAGATAAATCGCCCGGTCCGGACAGGATGCAACCAAGGTTACTATGGGAGGCACGGGTACAAATAGCGGAGGCTTTGGCTACAATTTTTCAATCTTCATTGGACACAGGGGAGGTGCCAGAGGACTGGAGAGTGGCCAATGTTACTTCCCTGTACAAAAAGGGACAGAAGGACAAACCTGGGAACTACAGGCCAGTCAGCCTAACATCAGTAGTGGCGAAACTCCTGGAGACTATAATCCAGGACAGAATAAATCTTCACTTAGAAGAATATGGGTTAATTAGGGACAGCCAGCACGGACTTGTTAAAGGCAAATCTTGTCTAACAAATCTAATAGAATTTTTCGATGAGGTAACGGAGAAGGTGGATGAAGGTAATGCAGTTGATGTAGTTTATATGGACTTTCAAAAGGCATTTGATAAAGTGCCACATGAAAGATTTGTAAGAAAGATAGAAGTCCATGGTATAAAAGGGACAGTGACAGTATGGATTCAGAACTGGCTGGGAGACAGAAAGCAGAAAGTTGTGGTGAACGGCTGCTTTTCTGACTAATACCAATCATACTAATACCAATCAAGGACCACTGCTCTTCTTCATATATATAAATGATCTGGACATGGGTATAGCAAGTACCATTTCCAAGTTTGCGGACGACACAAAGTTAGGAAGGGTGGTAAACAGTGAGAAGGATAGGAGCCAACTGCAGGAAGACATAGACAGAATGGTAAAATGGGCAGACACATGGCAGATGAATTTCAATGTGGAGGAATGCGAGTTAATGCATTTTGGAAGAAAGAATCAGGGGAGACAATATAGGCCGGTAATACAATCTTAAAGGGGGTAAAAGAACAGAGAGACCTGGGGGTGCAGGTAAATGAATCCTTGAAAGTGGCAGGATAGGAGATAAAGCTATAAAAAGGACATATGGGATACTAGGCTTTATAAATAGGGGCATAGAGTACAAGAGTCTTGAGGTTATGATTAACCTATATAAAACACTGGTTTGGCCTCAGTTAAAAAACCCCGCCCAGTTCTGGGCACCACACTATAGGAAGGATGTTAAGGCATTAAGGCATGTTAAGGGTGCAGAGGAGATTTACGAGTATGGTACCAGGAATGAGGGACCTTGATTATGAGGAAAGGCTGGAGAGGCTGGGATTATTCTCATTGGAGCAGAGAAGGTTACGAGGAGACCTAATAGAGGTCTTCAAAATCATGAGGGGCTTTGATAGGTTAGAAAGGGAAGAACTGTTCCACTGGTGGGTGAGGTCACAGATTTAAAATAGTTTCTAAAAGAAGCAGAGGGGAGGTGAGAAGAATTGTTTTCATGCAACGAGTTGTTCGAATCTGGAACGCATTGCCTGAAAGGGTGGTGGATAACAACTAAATCTCTCTTGTATCTTATGATCTTTAAAATGCTGAGAGGGTCAAGTTATATAAATGTAGGTAGGCTATTAAATGTGAGCACATAAATGTTTCATGGAATGTAATGGCTCCTGTTATAGTGGATCCAGCAATGGAGGGGAATGTTGTCTATGGAGGATAGCAGCTTTGGTTGTATGGTGAGGTTGCAAGCATTGTTCTGGAGTTTTATTGAAATTGTGGAGTGACTGCACATCAATTTCTCAGAGGAGATTGAGTGGGGTGGGATGGAATTCAAAGTAGTTTGTTCAGCCTCTAGAAAGTATGGGTTGGATGGACGTTTGCTGATCCATGCAGTAAAATGCTTATTATTTGGGTATGGTAGCTGACCGATTGTTGTGAAGGTGTCATCCAATAAAACAACTTTCATTTATATATTACCCTTCATGCAGGAAGGCAGGTTGGAATGCTATGTAAAAAAAGTGGCAGTATGAGCAAATCCATAGAATCAATGTCCAGGTAACTGACATTTGCAATCTATGAAACATTGGTTACAACAACAACAACAAAATTACATTTGCATAACATGTTTCACATCGGGAGGACATACCAAGGCACTGGACAATCAGTGTTTTGGACCTGAGCTGTGGGTTGGGATCAGGGAGAGTGGAGGGCAGGAGGGGAAGCAGGGTGATCGAAGGCACGGTTGAAGAGGAGTGGGTTGAGACAGGTATTGAAAGAGGTAAGGGAGTGGCGAGGCGAAGGGACTGTGGGATAGAGTTCCAGAGGGTGGGGGCATAGTGGCTGAAGACCTGCCTGGCAATGGTGGGGCAGGTGAGGCAGGGGACATGAAGCAGGCCGGAATCCACTGAGCAGAGGGAGTGGGCTGGTTAAGAGGTCATAGAAGTAGAGGGGAGCAAAGCCATGGAGAGCTTTGAAGGTGAGGATCTTGAACTGTATCCCCTGGGTGATGGGAATCCAGTGGAATCGGGCGAGAATAGTTTGATAGGGTCGCGGAGCCTGGTACGGGAGAGGACACGGGCTACAGAGTTCTGGATGATCTGCAGCCTGAGGAGGGAGTAGCTGGGGAGGCCAACAAGCAGGGAGTTTGCATAGTCAAGCCTGGATGTTATGATTGTGTGTATGAGGGTCTCGGTGGTATGAGACAGTAGCAGAGCTGTGCGATGTTGCGGAAGTGGAAGAAGGCAGAGTCATGGCATGGATATGGGGTAGAAAGGATAGTTGAGGGTCAGACTAGGTGCCAATGTTCCGCTTGTAGAGATGAAGTGGAGATGGTGTGAGTGGTATGATCTGAACCATTCAAGGAGAGAACCATGAAGGTTGAGGTAAGAGGAGAGGCAGTGGAGGAGTTTAGAGTGGTCAACGGTAGCAGAAAGCTCAAGGAGTACGAGGAGGCAGAGGGAGCCCTGGTCGCAGATGGACAAAATGTCATTTGTCACTTGGACCAAAGCTGCTTCTGTGCTATGGGCGGCACAGAAACCCGATTGGAGGGGTTCATGAAGGGAATGGTGGGGGAGGAAGCAACGAAGCTAGGAAGCAACAAATCGTTCCAGTACCTTGGAGTGGTCTAAAGTGCACTTGGAGTGTTCTGTCATAGTATTTACCGAACGATAATGAGGCACAGAAAAAGAACACAGATTGGTCTAGGTATATTAAAATATTGAGCTATAAGAGCGATCATCAATAATAATAATCCTTGTATTTGATATAGCGCTTTTCATGTCTTCTAGACATCTCAAAGCGCTTCACAGAATATGATGTAAAGTGAAGTGACTATATTTGTGGGCAAAACTGAATGCCAATGTTAGAAATTTTTAGTGTGTTGCTCAGTGTGGATAGTGATGTGGAGTTATATCAAGCTCACTCTAGAAATGAGCATTGTCACAAACAGCATTTGTGTGGAATGCTAGCAGTTTGTGTGGGAAGAGTTTGCAGCTATTTATTGTTTTTCTACATGTTTTCAACTGCTCGAGCAACAACAAGAAATTACGTTTGTATAGCGCCTTTCATGTTGGGAGGATGTCCCAAGGTGCTAGAATAATAATCCTTGCATTTGATATAGCGACTTATCACATCTTCGAGATGTCTCAAAGTGCTTCACAGAATATAGTGTGAAGTGAATGAACTTTTTTTTGTGGAAGAAATGTAGCAGCCAGTTGCGCACGGCAGTTTCTCACAAACAGTCGTAGATTAAGTGACCAAATTATTATTGTTTTTTTTCTTGAGGTATTATTATCTCCAGAAAAGCGATCCACCAATGAACTAACAGCCGGGTTCCTACTTACTGCTGGGGAAACAGAGGCGTGTGGAATAAAGAAACATGCCCAACATTTCGCCCGGCTGGGAATCAAACTCAGGTCTCAGGCTTGCGAGGCGAGTGCTCTAACCACTCAGCTACAGGACTCCACAATCTGTTCTTATACTGGAAATAAAGCAGTTAAAGGAGAAACCACAAAACATTTATTTTTAATTGTAAGGGGAATCAATCAGATGGAGAAATACTTTGTGCAGAATCAAGAAGAGAGGACAGGGGACACATTTCTAAGCATAGCAAACTACAAACTAAATGTAATTTAAGGAGTAATGACTTTATACTGGCTACTGGGAGTTGTTAACATGGATCAGGCTGCCCCTAGCACAATGAATTCAGACTTTGTTGAAGCCTTTAATGACAAAATGGAAAGATTTCTGATCCTCCAGGGAAAGGAGAAATGAGCCAGGCATCAAGGTTCAAGGCTAAATTAAAGTGAGTTTTTTAGCACCTGAATGTGAATTTAAATGTTTGGGGATGTTGACAAAATTGAGCTTTTCTGCTTGTAACCTTCTTACACTCCTGAGTTATATAAAAAACACATTTGCTATAATAATAATAATAATCCTTGCATTTGATATAGCGCTTTTCACGTCTTATCGATTTCTCAAAGCGCTTCACAGAATAGACTGTAAAGTGAATTGACTATATTTGTGGGCAAAACGCGGCAGCCAATTGCTCACAGCAGTGTCCCACAAACAGTCATGGATTGAAAATGACCAATTTATTATTGTTTTTTTGTTTCGGAAGGATTATTATTAGGCGTGTGGAGTAAGGAAACTTGCGCAAGGTTTTGCCCTGCCTGGAATTGAACCAAGGTGCCTCGCTGGCAAGGCGAGTGCTCTAACCACTGAGCTACAGGACTCCATGGTTATAGAAGCTCTATATTTACTGCATGTACAGTAAAATCCGCATAAGTCGTATCAGTCGGGACCATAACTTTTAATATGACATAGCTGAAGTATGAGTTAAGGCAAACTTGTATAAGTCAGATTTTATACAACTAACACCTAACAATAAACCAATGCT